GGGCCCCAGGTCCCTCCCCCAGACCTGCTCCAACAGGTTCATGTCTTTGCTGTTTGAGGGGCCCCAGAGCTGGATGCAGCACCCCAGTGGGGTCTCTCTCACCAGGGCAGAGCAGAGGGGCAGAATCCCCTCCCTCATCCTGCTTTTGATGCAGCTCAGGATACAATTGGCTTTCTGGGCTGCAAGTGCAGACTGCCAGCTTACGTTCAGTTTTTCATCCAAAAGCACTCTCGAGTTCTCCTCGGCAGGGAGGTCTCTCAACCCCTTCACGCCCCAGCCTGTATCAATACCAGGAGCTGCCCTGACCCAGGTGGAGACCTCGCACTTGGCCTTCCACGGTCACAAACAAAGACTAATGTGTCTGTTTCCAATAATTCTGGAAGACATTTAGCAGTTATGAAGGAAACAGCAGTTGTTAAACATTAGGTAGACATCTCTGGCTTGAACTTTCAATGTAAAGTGTAATATAATCTCGCATGAAATAATATTTCCCCCTAAAATTTATACACAAGTGTGATTTCTATAATGCTCCATGGAAAACTACTTGGTATTGTATTTTGGGATGAGGAAGCAAAAGCAGTAAAAGTCTTGCCTGATGATAATAACGTTGAAAACAGAATTTTCCATGTAATTTTGAACATTTCAGAATTTCCACAGGGCTGCTCTTCAAGTAAAACAGATCTGTCTTTGCTATGTGTCATTACCAATTATGCAAACACAGTAATATGATTAGAAACGTAACTGGTTCAGCACACGTATCAGTAACCTCCAGCTTCTCAATTTTCCTTCTTACTGGCATGAGTCACCTTAGCAAAGCTGACAAAACTTCAACAGTGACAACTGCCGACAGCAACCTCTAGTTATCAGATTCCAAGGAGAAGTTAATGAACTACTCAGGTAACGGTAACTACATGACATCTGAACAGCAAAAATAAATCCATCAAACAAAACCCCTCAAAAACAAATGAACAACCCCCCCCAACACAAAAAAAAAAACTAACAAAAAATCCTTCCAACACACAAAACAAAAAGGATCTTAAAAAAAAACCCAAACTAACAAAAATAAAAATAAACAATCACAAAACTTGCTAGCCAAACTAGTTAATGATTAATAAACAAAGCCCTACTACTGAAACAAAAAGAAACAGTGATAAGCAATCACAGCAGAGATGTCACAGACCAGGAGTGATAAACTGTTCAGGACAGAATAAAACAACCATAGCATTAACAAGGTTTTATACAGTGAAAAAAACCATAATGACATTTTCTAAAACCATTTTTATAGTTGTTCCATTGAATAAAAACTGGCAGCTTTAGAAGGCATTCCTTTTCATATTTACATGTTTAGTTTTCTTTAATTTTCTGAAGTGTGTAGGCCAGACAGGAACACATAAGAGATACATGTAAACTCACATGCAATATGTAACTATGTCCAGGAAACTCCATGTTTTGTGCAATAAACCCCATCACGTACTTACATACACACCTAGTCCTATCTAGATGTGTATGGCACAAGTGAAAAGAAATGAGACTGCATAAAACTTACTTACCTAACTTTTGGGTTTTGGCTTTTGACATTATTGTTATAGTACCACTGTTGTAATCCTTCTTTTAAAATTAATCTTCATTCATGATACTCTGCTGATGCATATATACATGAGTACAGAGCACCACCAACATTGTTTAGCTTTTTAGTAGACTTGTAGCAATACTGTAATTCAGGAATAATAGACTGTATTATTAAAATATATTATTCTTTTGATTAACGACTGAAGTAAAATTTGTTGAAGAAGGAACTGACAGAGTATAAGATCACAGAAAAGCCCAGAATTAAAGTTTTCAGAAGCCTCTTCTGTGATTTGTAAATACAGCCATTTACTCTTTCCACATCAACAAAAAAGGAAAAAAAAAAAACAAGTTGCTGTAAATTCTACCTATTTGCTTCTATGTAGAAACAAGTCACATGTTCTAAGCAGTTGAAAAAAGCTGTTGCTTTCTTTATGACTAAAGCTTGTTTTCACCCCCAAGGAAGAAGAGGAATTTTCCTCTGTACGCAAAAGAGATTAAAGAGAAATTAATCCACCACACTTCACATCGAAAATCAAAAAGATGAAAGTAAGGATAAAACAGCCATACATGTAAGGAAGACACAGTCTCTTCTCATTGCTAACCTCTACAGCCAAAATCCTCTCAAAAGCCGTCTCTCTCTTTAGTGAATGTACTTAAATTACAGCACTTTATTGATGTTATGTCTACAACTAAAGCTCCATTTCTGGAACCGGTAAGCACAGAAATGCACTCAAAGAAGGTGCAATCAAGGACGGTTAGTCATAATGGAGGGATCCATGCAAGCAATTTAAGCTGTAGTATTAGTTCTTTACTCTGCTGAGAATGTTTTCATGACTCTGTATATCCTCTGCATACTATATGAACTGTAAAGAAGAGGTAGACGGACTAGTCATGAATTATCAAGATGAATTTTTAAAAGTTGCCCAATTTCCAGTATGTGCTTAGACATCAGAGAGGGACACTGCTACTTACATAAAACTGCTACGGTATCAAGACTAATTTTTTTCCACTGGGTTAAAAAAGAAAAAATACCCGAAAACCAAAGAACAAAACAAAACAAAACAAAACAAACCCACAAACAAAAAAACCCCACACCCCCGAGATCGCGAGCGTTTAAATTCATTCAAGGGCTGCTCTGACGGCGTTATCGAGCCAGGAAGCCAGGTCACTCTATCACAGCTCGCCCCGCAGCACACGCTCCCACTCTGACCACTCACACTTTTTCCCTTTTGCTTTCCAGCAAGATTTCCCGGCTACGAACAAGGCGGGCATGAGCCCAGCTGCTAGACCTGGCTGAAGCCAGGCCATCCGGCATCTCCAAACTTTACAACGGTCCCGGCCGCCCCGGGAGCTGCCACCGATCGCCCACACCCGGCCACTTCCCGGGCGAGCCCCCCGCCCTTCGCGAGCCTGGGCCGGAGGCGGCCTCTTTCCCCCCTTATTCCCCGGCCCGGCGGCCCGCGGCTCCCGCCATCCCCTTTCCCCACAGCCCCCTGCACACTAACCTCGGTAAACTGCCGCTCGTTCACCTCCGCACTCCGGCTGCTCTCTCCTCCCCTCGGCTGCCGACCGTACCGAGGCGCCCCCGGAGCCGCCTCCCGGCCCGGCCCCCCGCGCGATGTGCGGCGCTGCCGACGCCCCGAGTGCGGAGCCTCCAGGCTTCACCCGCGAGCGGGCTCCACTCGCCGTGCCTTCCCGCAGCCCCCGCCCGAACCTCGCCCAGCGCCGCGGGCACTCACCGGCTCCTCACAGGGGCTCTCCCCGGCCCTTCCCGGCGCCTCCGAGCCCGGCACTCAGAGCTTCCATGTGCCCAGCGGCCGCTCCTCTCCCGCTCCACTCCGGGTACGGCGCCCTCTGGAGTGCCCGCTCCAGTGGAGCCTCACGGGCAGCCGGGGCTGTCACTCAGCTCGCCGGGGCCCCCGGCGCGGGCACGGCGCTGCGGCTGCCGCCCGCTCGCTACCCCTTTGTTCGGAGGCGGCACCGATAGCTGCTGCCGGCGGCGCTCCGCGGGCTCGGGCCGCCGCTCCGCCTCGGCGCCTCCCCGCCCGCCAGCCGCGCCTCCCGCTCCCGGCCCGGCCCGCAGCCCCGGCTTGCTCCCTCCTTCTCCGCCTGCGGTCAACAACCGGCGGCGGCAACACAAGTTCAGGCCGCCGACCCGGAAACTCATCGGCAGCCGAGGCCCGCGGGACTCCGACGGGAAGCGGATCCACCGCGCCGTGGGAGGGAGCGGGGCGGGAACGGGGCGGAGCAGGCCGGGACGCGGGGCCTGGGCGGCGGGCGAGGCGGGAGGATGCGGCGGGCAGGCGGCGGCAGGCGGCACCGAGGAAGGCAAGGCAGGCAGGGAGGGAGCGGGGCCGGGGCGACCTCCCTCACCCCGGTCCTGGGGCGGTCCTGAGCGCGGGGGAGCCGCTCCCGCCCCGCGGGGATTCAGGGGGAGCACCCCCGGTGGCCGCTGCCCGGCGGCTTCTGGGCGCGGCCGGGGAAGTTCGGGGGCGTTTCCCGGCCGGGCAGTGCGGGGCGGGAGATGCGGGGGTGCGGGGCAGTCTCCCGCCCGTCGCCCTCCGGCCGTGCCGATGCGAGGCAGCGCTGCGGAGCTTCCGATGCCCCCGGCCTCCCTCCTCCCCGGCCGGGGTGGCGCGGCCGGGAGTCCCGGCGGGAGCCACCCTGCTCCTCCTCCCGGCGGTTCCTGCGGGAGCCGGGAAGGGTCGGCGGTGCTGGAGAAGCCTGGGTGAGGCGTGTGCCTTAGACCGGCAGCCTTTACAATGGGGCCGCGTTGTTAGCACATGGGTTTAGTCAGAATCAGTTCGTGGTGGTGTCTTCTGAAGCTGGTTGTGTTTATTGTCACATCCTGACAGCACACCCCACCCCGCTCCCCGCCCCCTTCATCCTCACTTTTTGTTTTCTGTAGTCGTATTGCAAGTCTCAGCGCTGTGGGTTTCACAGACGTGCTCGTTCTGCGCTGGATTTAGTGCAGAGCAGTGGCAGAGGGAGTTCACCCACTGCTTATTCGCCTCCTGTCATCAGGGGACCCGGCCGTACCAGTGCAGGTTCCCTCCACACAAGCCTCTGACCCAAACCCTGTGTATCCAAGCACGTATAAGGAAACCCAAAGAGCAGGCCTTCCCAGCTGTGCATAAGGGATGGTTGTTTCTTTTTCCTTTTAAAATTACTAATATCCTAAAGTATGAGTTCTCATAAGTAAGCATGTTGCTTGTTTCATGTTTTTAGATGTTACTGTAAACAGTATACTAAATACTAATGCAAATACTGTAAATATGCTACTGCAACTCATTAGCTGCTTCTCTTCAGATATTATACTGTTCACATACCATCACTGAATCCTCTAACTAATGTATTTATATTAACTGATGGTGAAAATATCCATGCTTATTATTGTTATTTATGTTGAGGTTTTTTTGATATCTTTTCAGGTAGTCTTGATCCCAGGAAAAATACTGGACTAAGGGCATAGGAATCTGAAGACCTCTGTTTCTTCTAGAAGAGGTGGAGAAGCTAGAAACACTAACATTTAAAATGTGTGGAGGAATTAATCTGCAAAAAGCATGTGCTTACTGATGCTATGGAATGAAAGGGTGTTCATTTGCAGATGAAGAAAATGATCAGCTGGAAGGTGGAAATGGTCAGACATAACCTACTTTCTGGAAGCTGATACGTGATTTTGCTTTAGGAGATTTTCCATATAAGTTCCGTACAATTTTGTGATTTTGGGAATTGTCACCTTGATTTAACAAAAGGGTAAGCAAAGCTTTTTCTTAAATCTAAATGCTTTTATTCATTTTTTTAGAAATTAAAGATGTATTCTTTTCAGAAATTTGATTTAAATGAATTGTGCACCAGTTTGCAGCCCCACTGAAATAAAACTAAGTAAATGAATCCATATTATAGTTTATTTTTATCAGCTTTGTTACTTGGCTGTAGGCAAGACTCTGTTCTACTTTGCGGGGGGAGATAAAACCAGGTATTTTCTTGAATTCCTGGGGATTGCACTCATAGAAGTGCAGTGCTTGTTACAGCACAATTTATAAATCACAGTGGTTGTCACTTTGAAATGGCTTTCTTTTTCAATTTCACATCTTTTCCAGAGTTCAAAATTTCTTTGGCCTTTTGTCTGGTTTGCAAAATGAGGAAGATAGTTACAAAGTGGGAAAAAAACCCCATTGCTTTTATTTTCAAGATGGGTTAGAGAACAAGCTTATTTGTATCAAATCTATATGACGCCCTATTTTCTCCTTTCATGAAAAAGAAGCAGAATTATATCAGCCATTGGCATTTCTCCAGCTAAAAAACAATAAATGAATAATGCAAAGCATCGGTGGATATGAGCACTGCATCCTGAAGTTTAGTGTGCTGTTGGATGGTTTTTTTCAGCTGAACCTTTTCTTCCTGTTTATTCATTATTTCCAGTGATAAAGTAAGAAGGAGAGATGGGAAACCCAGAAAACATTGGAGATGCGTATGTTGCTGTGATTCGTCCAAAAAATACTGCTAGCCTCAATTCTCGGGAATATCGAGCTAAATCCTATGAAGTAAAACGATTTCTTTTCTTTATGTGTTAGCTATTTGGCTTTTTAAATAGCATAGTAAATAAGTAATAATATAATGGAAGAGAATGTAGCCTTGTCTTTTACTCTTTAGTCTGCTGCAGAGGTCATTCTGACTTCACCATTCTGCTCCTCAACATTTAGTACTTCTTGAATTTTGTTACTACTTTTACATAATAAATAATAATAATAATTGTTTTTAAGTTCTGTGCTTCTTTCACCTGTGCTTAAACTTCTTTATTTCATTATTGTTTGAAAGATTTTGCTGCTTGAAGTTCCCATTGAAGGCCAAAAGAAAAAAAGAAAGAAAGTTTTGCTAGAAACTAAACTTCAAGGAGGCACTGAGATAACCCAGAGCATCTTGGATTATGTATTAGAAGCCACCAAACCAATTTCACCAGCCAATCAGGGTATTAAAGGTAAGACCATTTTAATCTAATATACTATTGATAGCACTATAAAAATGTTTTTTAAATTGGCATGGCAAAGTTATGCAAAAGCATGAAATTAGTATAAAGAAAGAAGATCTATTTTGAGGTTCATCAAAAAAACCTAAGCCAACTATACAGCTAAAACCTTTCATGTACCTTTGTTTTTCTTTTCCTTCCAACTCTATAAAATGCTCACTAAGTGATTGTTAATAAATGAATCTTTGTCTGTGCTGCTTCTTCACCTCAAGTTTAGATTTATAGCTAAACTTCCACTAAACCAGATCAAAGTGGCTTTTGAATCCATAACTTCAGCTAAAACTTGGACTAGAGACCTGATAAAGTCAGTTGTTCAGACGACAATATCTATATGAAAATATTTCTAGCAAAACTGTATCGCTTACAGATGGAATTTGATGAGTACTTTTTTTTTCCTTATTGTTACATAGCTGATATAGCAAAGAACATCACACTTGTGCTGACAAATTTGGTTTTGCTAGCCTATTACACTTCCAGGTTGGTATAAAGTATAATGACTAAAGGACTTCTGGTCTTTGCTGTGGACTTCATCTCTGTTGTTTATGTGGTAAAACGTTGCAGGTGACAGTAACTGCAGCTGAGTGGATGTAGCAGAGCTAATAATGCAGCAAACACAGAATAACAGAATTAATACACATAGAGGAATGCCTTCTAAAAGCAAGTACTCTGTTCCTTACATAGTTTAGAGAGTTTTAATTCGACTCACTCAGATGGCCCAAGCATTAAGTATGCCCAGCTTAGTTTGTACGCTGCTAAAATATGCAGCTGAGGTTGGAAAAGTTAAAAAGGGCTACAGTCATATAATTTTTTCGTGTTAATGGGTATATACATGTTTATGTTCTTTAGTTTTTCATATGTATTTAAATTTTCTTCGGTTTCTTTAGATTATAGCTCATAAGCATAATTTTTTTCTTCCTGGAAAGTAGGAAGATTGAGTTTAGTAAGCTTTCAGATAGCCAACTCGAGATTTTTTCTTTTTTTTGATGATTAATTAATTGTTTTGTGATTTGTCTGTTTTTTGTTTTTAAATAATGTGCTAGGAAAGCGTGTGGTGTTAATGAAGAAGTTTCCTTTAGATGGAGAGAAAGCAGGCCAGGAGGCGTCTCTTTACATTGTTCCAACTGTTGTGAAAGGTAACACGGAGCATGATTTGTGAAGCTGCACCCATTTTAGCAGAAGTTCACTTGAGGGTTTATTTTTTTTGTATGATATCTTTGAGTTGTATATATCTGTATCATTGATATATGATTATAAATATGTCATATATATTTTAATTATACATATAAAGTATGTTTTGATATGGTATATAGCTTTTTCTGTAAAAAAAAAGCTATATATCATATTAAATCTTTTTTTTTTAAACATTAAAAGTTGCAGGCAGGCGCAAAACTCCCTTAAAATCAATGAAGAAATCTTTGGTTCAATGTATTGCCTTTGCTTTTGTAACAATAGCACACTTCTGGTTTAAGCAGTATTTGTGCACTTGGTTATATTTCAAAACACAGGCCTTAACTTTTGTAGAATTTGCTGAATGCAACTCTAAGACATCCTACTCAGTTCAGTGTTCTCTACTCAGAGAAGAATAACTAAGTCTCTAAACAGTAAATTAATTCTTTAGAAAGCCAAATAAATTACTTGTCAGGAAAGTATTTTAGAAATATTGAAGTAAAATGTGTGCTTTTGGGGAAACGTCTTCATTTTTGCATTACTCATAAGACTTAATAAAACCTATCGAATAGATACCATTGTGGACCTGCCAGTATACCAGTACATGCCCCTCCTAGTCCTGAGTCATCTTCCTTTTTTTTCTGGTAACAGGATGCATTTAACATTTATTCCTCAAATGAACCTGATCACACTGATGGAACAGTGACAGAATACGTAGGGATTTTAAGACTAACCTGTTGGGTTGTGAATTGCTATGTAAGGATTCTATGTAATTGCTATCAATTATTATTTGGAGAAAATTATTATTTGGAGAAAATCTAGTCTAAAGTTATTGTCTTAATCAGGGATGTGCAACTACAAAAGATGCAGAAGGGAAAATAAGATTATTCTCACTGATGTGTCTTCAGAGAATGTTTCTTTTTTAGATAATACGAAATATACATACAGTCCTGGATGCCCTGTGTTCTACTGTTTACAAGACATCATGAGAGTCTGCAGTGAATCCAGCACACACTTTGCTACGCTTACTGCAAAAATGTTAATTGCCTTGGATAAGTAAGAGACACTATCACTAAAAATACATTAAAATGAAAAGTTTGATATTTCATATCAAAATACAAATATATATTAAAAAGATAATTTGTCAATGTAACACATAATTTTTATAGCATTCTTGTGGTTAAGAAGGAAATCATCATGGTATTTTCTTCATCATCCATATTTTCTTATCACAAATGGAAACGCTGACAAAATATTTCTAAAAGTCTTTTAGCAAACTCAAGAATGGTGTGTTTATCTAAATCAAGTAGCTTTTTGGAAGTTCATGCTCACAGTGAATGTTTTGTAAAATCATAATGTTTAATTTTCTGTAAATGACATAATTGTCATTTGAGTAAGAATATTTGCCAGAGTGTAGTAAAAATATCCTGTAATTGTATACCATTAAGATTTGCATTTAAATTAAATCTCCCTGTAGAAAGGGAGTGCATCTTCCCCAGACACACAGATTTATTTGCAGTAGGGAATTAACTTTAAGAAAGGTGATTTGTTGTTTAGCCAGATTTGATATTTGAATACATGAACAAGTTTTTTGTTGTTTTGTTGCAGGTTTTTTTTTTTTTTTTTTGTGTGTTGTTCTTCCCCAGACACACAGATTTATTTGCAGTAGGGAATTAACTTTAAGAAAGGTGATTGTTGTTTAGCCAGATTTATAGTAGTTTGAAATTTGAGTACATGAACAAGCTTTTTGTTGTTTTGTTGCGGGTTGTTTTTTGTTTTTTTTTTTTTTTTGGTTGCTTTTTTGGTTTTGTTTTTTTCATTTTTTAAATGTATCCTTAACCAAGAAATGCCAGACACACTTGTGTATGAACTTATTTGCAGTAATAAAGTTAGCTGAAATTTCGGGCTAATGTAAAAAACCATGCTACAGGCTATTGCCTAAAAGGTTCTGTGTGTAGGGTTTTTACAGTTTATTAGTAGAGTTGTAGTATTTGCGTGTATACCATCATACCAGTTAAATTTATTTGCTGCTCGCTGAATGCCTTCAGGCTCTAAGTTCTGCTTGGAAGTGTTTCATGCCTCACAAGAGGCCTTGGAGGTATAATAGAAAATAGTTTATATTTTTTTATTCTCTATGTACATAATCTGAAACAATACTTCCCAAAGATTCAAACTGCCATAATTAATTTATCTACCAAATATTTAGAGAAAATGCCTGAAAATACCTTAGAGAGTATAGCACAATGGCTACAATTTTTCTGTTCTTTCTGCCAGGACCTGAGTAAAAGAAGAAAATGCTGCTTTTGCAGGACATTATAGCTCTGATTTAGGACTTAAAAATAGGCCTAAGCATATGCACGGAACTGCAGGTTCCTTCTACCATCCTTACATATGCTTCTGGGACAGACAAGATCCAAGTGGTCTGTCAGTGGATGTCCAAAGCATGTACTTACTTCTCTTTCTTCTATTTCCAGGCTCAATCACTAAACAGAATTTATTCCAGCAAAGCACATTATTACCTCAAGCTTGAGAGAAAGCATGTGCAGAAACCTAAATACAAACCTGCCTTTAGACCTTCAATGAACCACTTAATATAACACTAAAACAATTTAACAATTCAGTAAAAATATATTTATCCAAAATTTGAGATGAACAACTTATCCTGAGCCCTGTAAAATATATTTATCCAAAATTTGAGATGAACAACTTGTCCTGAGCCCTGTGTTGTATTGCATATGTTGTTGGAAAAATGCAGCAGGTGTACAGTACTGGCTTCCCCTGGTAGCACAGAGACTCTAAAGCTCCTCAGTACTGTCAGTGGGAGTGCACTGAGAAAGGAATGAACTTCAGCAGAGCTTTATAAAAAGGCAGTTGGTAGCCTGTGTGAAAGAGACTTAGCAGTTTGGAAACTGGACCTTCTGGTTTGCTGCCTTTTCCTGTCTTTCCCTAATGAAACATGTGAGTTGGAAAGCTTATGTCAGTACAGATATTGAAACTCACCCTTAAAAAAACTGTTTTAAGTTTTAAAATTTGTTCAGAGTTGTACTGTTAATAAACTGAAAGTAAATGAAATGTTGGTGTGGTTTTGTGGTTGTAACCTGTGTTACTCTTAGTGTATAATTTCCTTCTCTTTGAGAGTTTGCATCCGCACAGAATTGAGCAAACACAACTGTTTAACTGAGTGTGGTTAACAAATTTCACATTAGGGAGTAATTTAGTCTTATAAAAGTGGCTGTGCAAATTATAATTATTTTTTTTAAATTCAGATGTGTGATTAGCATATATGCAATCCCTAATCAAACAAAATAATGGACAGCATGACCAAAATGATCCTTTTCTACCTGAAAATTAATTCCTTGCTCATTCTCTCCTGCAGGTGGTTGGATGAACGACACACCCAGTCTCACTCCATCCCAGCTTTATTCAGACCATCTCCTCTTGAGAGAATTAAAACAAATGTAATAAACCCTGCCTATGCTATAGAACCTGGTCAAACAGAGAGCTCGTTGCACATGGGTTATACTGCCCTGGAAATCAGGAGTAAAATGCTGGCATTGGAGAAAGCAGATATGTGTATCTATAATCCGTTATTTGGATCTGACCTTCAGTATACCAATAGGGTAAGTACTATATTTTCACTTTGTATTTATGAAACATCCATATATTTTCATTTTAGAGTTCATTCATTTATTTGATATGAGTGTGTGCTCACATCAGAGCTGTTTATTTACCAGTAAGTATGCGCTGGTTTTTCAATCCTCATATTTGATCATAATTTTCTTTCATTATAAAATGTTACTATCATAACTTTGGTTTCAAGAGAATACCTGACTGGAATGGGGGATTGTGTAGCCAAATCTCAGTAAGATATTTTTTCAGTTGTGTTTAAATTATGTCTTCACAGGTTGACAAGGTGGTAATAAATCCATACTTTGGCCTTGGAGCCCCAGACTACTCAAAGATTCAGATTCCTAAAAGAGAAAAGTGGCAACGTAGCATGAGCAGTGTCACAGAAGACAAGTATTATGTTACTTTTATGTTACTATTATTCCTTTTTCATTAATGGATAATTTTGTTTTGTTTTATTACAGTAGCACTTGGTAGACTTAAAATGGGATTCTTATTACTTTATGCTTCACTGTAGAAATACATATTTTAAATGAAATTCTATTTGAAATCTTTAAGTATTGAAACACAACAGTTAAAGGATGAAACAAAAAAGGTGTAAATTATAAACATTAGAGAAGCATTTCTTAGTCTAATAAATACAGTTGTGGCTTAATTTCTGCATGACAAAAAAACTATTTGTATGAATACTGGCACATTTTAGCTGCATGAACTTCTCTTTTATTCTTCATGTAGATCTATGGATAGTGCTATGTTGTAACTTTTAAGAAGTCAATGTTCTCAACTGTAGTATTTCTGAAAGGTGTTTTTCCTGCTTCCCATTTTAATTCATAGGGAACACCAGTGGGTAGATGATTTCCCTCTTCACCGCAGTGCTTGTGAAGGAGACTCTGATTTACTAAGCCACCTTCTGGATAAAAAGTTTTCTGTTAATCAGTTGGATAGTGACCACTGGGCACCAATCCATTATGCATGCTGGTGAGTCAAGCCTAGTTTTGCCAATCGAGTGCATTCTAGCTGTCATGATTCTTTAGCGCTATCATTTGTGTAATTTATCAGCCTCCAAAAGAAGAAATAATAAAAAAACACCTCTAGACTTTTTATGCTTTCATTATAATATATAATAGTGTTAACCTTCTGAAGAGAAACATTACTTCAGGTTTTGAGATAATTTTAATTTGAATGGTTTTTGGGGAGACCAGTTGTGGTGATCATGTCATCACTTACTTACTGTCTCTTGTATCTCTCCTGACTATTTTATTTCCTGCTGGAGGCACTGGGTCTACTTTAGCATGGTAACTTCCATACTCTGTGTTGGCTTAAGTTTTACAGCACAGCACTAGGTGAGATGAGTATGTTTTGGTGCTGGACACACTTTAAGTGGGAAGCTAGACTAGGTGATTTACAGAGGTCAACATGTCTGACTATAACTCTGTGATTTAATCTGTAAGTGCTTGAAAGCTTTTCTCAGTCATAGAAATCTTTTGTTTTATCTTTATGGAAGTTAGTATTTTGTATATGTAGTGGTCAGTATGTCTGATGATAGGAATAACATGAAAATCAAACTTGATAAAAAGCCCACATTCTTACTTGCTTTTTAGTGTTTGTCAGAAAGTTTGTAAATACTTTATACATCAAATACACACCAGTATAAGAGCTACCAGTTATAAGCATGGGAATTAAGAATCTTCAGGATGCATCTGCATGACAAGCAGAAGCTGAACTCTGATTCTCACACTGATTATTTTTTTCCAGACAAAGCTGGACTCTGTTTTGCCATGACTGAGTTGCTGCGACTACCCAGACTTAGCTAGCTTAAAGCAAGGTTCTGTTTGTCTATCATGAATCCAATCAATGGTTACTAGACCAGTGATTACCAAAGAAGTGTAGAATTGATATTAATTTCTACAAACTTAATTATGTGCCATTGTATCTGGTGTAATTTGAAAGCTAAAACTCTTCAGTGTGAACAAAACCACACTTTTTCATAAATAGGACAATCTGAAAAAATACTTATTCATAATTAGAACCATCTGAAAAAAAATTATTGTATATTTGCTGTGTCTGTTCTGATTTAAACACGTCTGCAGGTATGGAAAAGTTGAAGCCACTCGAATGCTGTTGGAGAAAGGGAAATGCAATCCAAATCTTTTGAATGGTCAACTTAGCTCTCCTCTTCATTTTGCTGCTGGAGGTGGGCATGCTGAAATAGTACAAATTCTACTAAACCATCCTGAAATTGACAGAGTAAGTTCTGTTTGTGTATAGAAATAGCAGATCTAGCAACAATTTCTGGCTTTTGTATGAGAAATATTTTGGTGTCAAATCAATGATCTTGTTTAGCAATTATTGAAAAATGGTTAAATGTTTTTGATTACCTCTGCTTTTCCCATTGTGTATCAATTAAATGTTTGAACTCTGGTATCAAGGATTTTAATTGTCTTAAAAATGTGTAAATATTTACCTGTCTCCAGTGAAATCAATGTAGAATCGGTGTTTCTGTTTGTTTGTAGCACATTACTGATCAACAGGGAAGATCTCCGCTGAATGTCTGTGAAGAGAACAAACAAAATGAGTGGGAAGAAGCTGCAAAACTACTGAAGGAAGCCATAAATAAACCTGTACGTGTTTATTTTCTAAATATTTTAAAATTTATAATTAATTTACACTTAATCTTTTAGAAGAGCTAGAGTCACTTCCGGCTGTTACTGGAAATGTGCAGCACACTGAAATTCAGAGTAAATATTGGCAAACTGGCGTTTTGTCTCTTTAAATGTTTCTGTTCTGTTTCATGGCTCAAGAAATACATGTAAGACATGTAAACATGATGTTTCAGTTTATTTGTAGGAGCATCACATGAGCTACTGATTTTATGTATATTTTTGATCGTGCAACCATCAGCTTTCTTTATGCATTCTTATCTTATATGTTGATAAGCAGGAGCATTCACCTAATGTAGGTGTTCTATGAAATAGGCTAAATGTAGGGTTCTATGGAATAGGCTTTTCATCAGTTAGTCAGTGCAGGCTTCCTTGGAAGCCAGTGGAGATTGAGCCAGGATAGGAAACAAAATTTACAATGCAATTCCTCTTATCCTGAACTAGATTTAAAATTAGTCAAACGATATAATCCCACTTGTTTCTTTTCTTTGACTTCAGATGCAACCTATATCCCTGTAAGTAGGTGGTACTAAACCTGTCAGTTTTTCTAGATGTTTTAAATTATCTTCATTTCACTCTGCATGAATGGTCTTCAAAAATAATTAAGGAAGGAACTGACCTTCATTTTAAGGACCTTACTATGCAGTAGATCATGTGAAGGTGTGTCTAATGACTCTAAAGACTAATGGACACGTTTTAAGTAGATTTCAGAGTGTAATGCAGGATGTTATGTTGTCATTTGTTGCTATTTAATTAATACAATATATAAACTCCCCCTATAAACTACTGCAGTAGGAATGACAGTGACTACTGCAGCAAAAATAGACTGATGTTTTTCATTCCAACCTCATTTTCAGTCAGTTGTCATTTTCCAAGCCATCCATCTTTTTTTCCAGAAGTTTTTAGGAACTCAGTTCTTGATGACTTAGTAGATTTGAGGAAGAGAAATAACAAATTCCTGAAATGTTTTTATTCAAGCAGCTGAAACGTCTAATCTGTTACAGAAATGAAAACAAGACAGTTCATTGATTTATGACTTGAGTATGTATGCTTTAAGCACCTGATTTATGTTTATGTATGTCTTTCAGAAGACATACTATGGGCTCACATGCAATTCAGTGAAAGCTATGGGAGTTCTGAAGGGGAAAATGATTTATTATTTATAAGATTTATTTTGATTCTCTTACAGGAGCACTATAAGACTTAGTGAGATTGTACTCTTGTAGTGGGTTCTGAGTAAAGGGTGGTGCTTCCCTCTAAAAATAAGTTCTTTTAGTATAGGGTAGAAAAATTCATAACCTGCCGGTAATAGCAAAGTGAACATTTTGGGATATGCATAGGCACTGAGCACAGATCCCTCAGGGAACTTTTAAATACCTATTTGCCTTTGACAGAAGTCCTCAGAATACCAGCAAGATCTTTCTTAGAGTTACTGTTGTAAAAAATGCAGTATAAGAACTTGCACAGAACATGAAACAAGCAATTTGGGTAAATAATAAATACGTAGGAGTTGTGCGATGTTCTTTTTCCCAGCATCATAGATGTTGCTGATAGATGGTAAAACTACTTTCCTGTCTAGAAACACAAACAGAAAGGATTTTAACAAATGGTTTGTGTAATATGTTCCCGTTTTTATGTAGTATGAAAAGGCACGGATTTATCGTATGGATGGGTCATACCGCTCTGTGGAGCTGAAGCACGGAAACAACACAACTGTCCAGCAGATCATGGAGGGCATGCGCCTGTCTCAAGAAACTCAGCAGTACTTCACTATCTGGATCTGTTCTGAGAACCTCAGTAAGGAAAAGGGACAATGGTTACACTTGAGGGTTTATCATAGTTTATTCCTGTTTGCCTTTAGGAAAAAGTAATGCTGTCTTAGGAGAGTAGGAGACATGCTCTCTGACAGGCTTCACAGCCTGATGTCTCCAAACTGCTTTCAGAGTTGTGGAGTTCGGTACCTTTGCTAGGTCTTACTGTATCACTCTGGCAGCTATAATGTATTTCATCCAGGAAGATGAGGCTGTTCCAGGTTTCCTTGCTGTTACAGGGCACCTTGCCTGTCATAGGCCTTACTAGAAGCTTATCCTGGTTTTATCCATATTTTTCTTCCCAGACTATCTGAATTTGGATGCATGTAGTTTTTACCAGTGTCTAGTATTTTTAAAACTACTTAAGATGATTAATATTTTTTCATTAGGTCCTTTAGTCATATGAGTTTTCCTGTGTTTGGCACCAAAAAAGTTTTTGATAAACAAGTTTTCAAATATAATTGATGGGAGAGAATTCTGATGTAAAATGTCATGTTTTTATTTATGGTATTTTTTGGTTTTCTGATCTAAATAAAAAAGATATTATAGTTTTTGTTTGAGATACGTACTAGAAGATAAGTAGAAGCCCAAGAGTCAACAAGTGTGGTTGGGTAATTTCAGATAATGTGGTCAACAGTACTGCTGCAATAGGGATAGCTGTGGGACACCTTGTGGATTACAAAGCTCAGTTGTGGTCTGGTAGGATACTGTGTTGGGAGTGTCATTAACACAGAAGCCTTGCATTTAAAATTTTATTTACTGTTGCCAATGCTACAGCGGTATTTTTATGACTACTGTAAGCCTCAGCTAAACACAAATGTTAATGTGAAGAAAAGGAAGTGTTTGAGTGTTAAAGTCTTGCTGCTTTTGCCTTTCCTAAATATGTATGTGAAGTTGTCATAGAATCACTGAAGTATTACTCTTGCATTTGTGGGGAAAGAGCTCACTGCTAAATTGTTTGTGTAACAGCAAGTAATTCTTTAGATATTTAGCCTAGATTTGAAAATGAGCTCCTGATTTATGGCTTCAAACAACTAACGGACAGGTTTCACTATAAAGTATGTTGCAGTTTCTGTACAACTGTAAGGACAGTAGGTTTCTTGCTTGTAGAACAGATGATGCTTTTCTGTGTTTGAATGTAAGATGGATAAGTTAAATGAACAGATTGTTCCTAGTGAAAGATGTTGCACTATAATGTATCTATTTACATTTTTCATATCATGTGAAATGCCACAGTGTGAAAGCCAGAGCAGTGAGGGTGAGGCAGATACAGCCTCCTAGAACCTCACTGCTAGGAAAAGCCAAGTGATAACCCAAGGACAGACCGGGTGAGTGAGTAAGCCAAAGATACAGACTCTGGTACATAGTATGGCTGTAGCTGAAACCTCTGTATTAATTTCTCAGCTCTCATGCACACAAGAGAACGTGAAACATGGATTGACTTTAGCCTGTTAATAATCAAGACATTTTACAGATTAAAAAGAAGAATGTCTTCTGAAAAGAAGAATGTCTGTTGTGAAAAGTTTGTGGTTTTTATATATATACAAAAAGGGCAAATACATTTATAAGATAAATTATATCTGTATTTTTCTGTCAGGAATAAGATTATTGGACTTTATATTTCTGCCACAATAATAGAGACAAGAGTCTCTCATGTTTTATTACTGCGTTTTGAAGGCCAGTCTTGGTACTCCATTAAATTTTTAAATAGCACTTCACTCTTGAGAAACTATTGCATTTAGTGAGTTGATGCTAAGAGTTTTGTCAATAAATACATATTTTCAAACCTTTTCTATATAGCAGTTTAGAAAACATAGGGAAAACCTAGGGATGGTTAATGAGTCCTCAATTTCAGGTACTCTGGGTTTGGTGCAGCATTTAATAATTTATGTGGATGTGTGTGTGTGTTTGTGCTGGTTTATTCTGTTTATTTAGAAACAAACCTGTTATTTTTCAGGTCTCCAGCTGAAGCCATATCACAAGCCTTTGCAGCATATTCGAGACTGGCCTGAAATATTCACTGAACTGACAAACTTGGATCCTCAAAGGGAAACTTCACAGCTTTTCCTGAGAAGGGATGTGAGACTTCCACTGGAAATAGAAAAAAAGGTCAGGACTTGGAAGTGAATGAAATTATGGTCAGACTCAGAACACTTGGACCATCAACACTCAGTGTGTATAGTGACTGTAGTAGTTTCCAAACTTTTTTAAACCTGACATCTCCATTTCTGTAATGTTTTGAATTTTCACATTCTTCCCTTCCTCTCTCTTGCCTTCCTGCCATCTCTTTGTTCTCTCTCTCTTTCTCACCCTCTCAGCTGGGTTTATGCAATGTCTCCATGTGTCAGTCTCTGTCTGTCATACAGCTAAAAACAACCTGCCTGATTTTATTCCTTGTGCTGTTGTTTTTTAGTTATTTAATTGGTCAATTTCAATGGGATTATTCAAACATATTACCGAAAATGAATTTATGGGGGAAGAAATCCACATATACCGTTATTTCTGTGAACTTTTTGATTGGGCATGGTGTGCTAGTTGCCTTTCATTTATTTGTTAGATCAGTGAAGTGTTGAAGTAAGTAAATGAAAAACAATGCTTCTATTACAAAGCACCACTAAAATGTGCTTTTTGATCCTGACTTCAGTCAGGATCACACCTATGTCTTCTGTCTCTGAATCAGTGAGAAATGCTATTCATAGTTTCTAAGGCTATTTTCCTTTTTACAAAGAAATAATATTATTTAAATCTTTTTTAACAGATTGAGGATCCCTTGGCTATTCTTATTCTTTTTGATGAGGCCAGATATAATTTACTGAAAGGTTTTTATACATCACCTGATGCAAAGCTGATTACACTGGCAAGTCTTCTTCTACAAATAGTCTATGGAAATTATGAGAGCAAGAAACATAAACAGGGCTTTCTAAAGTGAGTATGTGTTTAAAATTTAAAATTATGGGTTAGATTAAATATTTTTAGATAGCACTTCCTATGGAACCCTCAGACTTTAGGTATGATATATTTTTTGGTTTTCTTCACTGAGCTATAGTTCACAGTAATCATGTAACCCTTGTAGCATTATTAGAAGTTGGGCATTGTGTGTGAAAATATATTAATCTTAATAATTGCAGTCCTAGACAGAGGAATGGAGGTTGTGTAGTATGTAAAATCTGTCCTGAGATACAGTAATACCAAAATAAACAACAGTATTTATTTGAAGGGTTCTGACAGGACTGAGGCCTTGAGTAGTGTTGAAGAAACATTTTACTATGGCAGTTGGACCAAAGTCTGGGACTGATTTTCCCTCTTCGGACAGACCATGCAGCGATATTTTGTCTCTTCTGTCATTTGCAGGAGAAATGCTGTACTAAATTAGTCAAACCCATAGCACCAGTAGGGCTCAGCCAGATGGTATTTTTCTCTCCCCTTCTCTCTGCATGCCAGAAGAACAGTAGCTGAGCTATTTTGGGATGGCTTGTTCTTCCCACATACATTTCTGCAGCAGTATCTGAGCACATGAGGATTCCAGTTCTCTACTGTGTGCACCTTCACCCCCTGCTGTCTCCACCTCACTTCATTCATGGAACTGCAGCTGTGTTGTTCTGGAATGCTGCTATGCTTCTCATCTTCTCTTATTCACAGCATCAGCTGAGCTGCCTTGGCCTGATGGGTTTTTGCATGTATTGTCCTGCAGTTGAACAGCCAGTCGATGGAGCATAAGGGGAAGGGGGTTTAAGTGGGACTGCCCTCCTGTACGAGTGTGCAGTTCAGTGCAGCTGAGTTTTGTATGAAACTACTCCCTGCTGGCTCCCAGCAGCTGCAGGGTCGTGTTCTGTTCCTCTCCACATTGAGGCCTGTCAGTACTGTGGTTCCAAGTTCATCCTGCTCAGTGGAAGTGTTTGGCTCTACAGACAGGTCTACCTGCAAAGATAGGTTGGGCTAGATAAAAAGCCATTTGGACACGCTTTCCATCCATATTCACATAGTTATTCTTCATGTAGATGAGGAGTTTCATAATCTGTTTTTCTTTTTGTAGTTGACAAAAATGTTCATTAAAAGAATGCTAATTCCAAAAACATATCCCTAGTTGTTGTTTGTAAAAAACTAGTAAAGGCTTGCATTCTTCCTTTTAGTTTTTTTTTTGTTTCCTGCAATTTAGGTTTTTTAAAAAGGCAGTTGATGTAAGTAGCTTCTCTTTCATGTAATATAATATATAATTTCAATGTGGAAATTAATTGGGCTGAGTCCCTGGTAGTGCTATTGCAGGAGTGAAAGGAAGAGTATCTACAGTCTGTCATATTTTCTAAGTATGTGATATGCTGATGTAAATAGCATTTTGTGTATAATTTTGGCTTCCAACCTGGAATTCACCAAACTGCTCTCTAGCCAAGTATGAGTTGTGTGTTCTGCTGGCATTTCCTCTCCATGCCACGTCCATGATGTGTGACACAGTGTGTATAATGTAAAGCTGGATCTTCATTAACTGAGAATTGCACTGTATCTTAGGAACCCATCTCATCTGATGAGGTAAGATAGACTAGGAGCTGACTGTCTAGCTCAGTATATGACTTGAAGGTACACTGTGGCAGATGTTCTTTTTTCTTACTTTGTTTAGTGAAGAAAAACTTTGCTCCTCTTTGTTTTTCTCTTAGTGAAGAAAATCTTAAATCTATTGTACCAATAACTAAACTAAAAAGCAAAGCTCCTCACTGGACAAACAGGATACTTCATGAATACAAGGTAAGATAAATAAGCAGGTAGTAGAAAATCCTGTTGTTAAACATTTTTGAATGTTTGGTTGTCAATTAATGAACAGAAATACTGGTATTAAAAAAAAAAAAAAAAAAAGCTAAAAATATGTATTTGTCAATTAATGAACAAAAATACTGGTATAAAAAGCTAAAAATATGTATGCTCTGAATTTTTGGAATTCATTGTGGAATATATTTCTTGTACAGTTACAGATCTCTTTGTTAGAAGTAAATATGTTTGTTATCTGTTCATTTACCTTCAGTGTTAGCTCTGTATTGGGCACAATTCCAATTCAGGCATAGGTAGGAAAAAATCTACTCTGATTTAAATTCCCATGTCCACTTGTAGCAATAGATCCCCAAAGTCCTTGTTTTCAGTGTAACTTGTATCTTAGGTACCTGGTAGTGCTGCTGATGTGCAAGTACACACACACACACACACACACACACAAACTCCTTTGTTTAGAGGAGTTAATTGAGCAACAATGTTAAATTTTTTGGACTTGAGCTGCTTGTGTAAAAATGCATCTAACTGAGGGCTGTGAGTTCCAAATGAGGTCAGATTAAATTTGTGGTCTTCACACGTAATTGTGGAAAAAGTGAGGTGTGTCAGAAAGAGAACTGTACCAGCTGATGTGCATCACTAAAGGTAGCTGCCAGGAAACATTGCAGAGGCACCTAGTGAATGTTTTCAAACCTTGCTCCTAGTTTTGACATGAGATTACTCAGTCATAAACTTTCTTTTGGTGCTCACACCTTTTTTATCAGAAATTAGTGGATCATTCCTATTGTTTTTAATAGAGATGAAGGAGGGGGTGATGATGGTCTAAGACTATGGTGTAGCAAAGTAATCTACTCTGTCATCAAAGTATATGTAAGAATAAGCCTAGCTTTTTTGACTTCTGCTTTTGGGACATTATTTTGAGGTGTGGGGCATGGGGGAAGGGAAAAGAAGTTGCAGTCTTTTGTTCTGAAGATTTTATGTGTTAGAAATGGCTGTGTGGAATTCAGGTAAGCTCTAAGGCAGGGTATGGATCCAGAGAGGCTGATCCTGTCACACACAGTCATGGCCCTCTAACTGCTGAAGATTTGTGTTTTCCCTCGTGTCTCTGGCTTCTGATCTTGTCCACAGCCCAACCAATTTTTTATTTGTTAGAGAGTTGTTATCATTCTGGTTTGAGGAGCACTCCAGCAATAGTTTGTTCTGACTGCTGCACTCTACTGAAGAGGAAGGAACAGAAGCCTGTCTCATTCTGAATGAAGGCTCCACTAATGAAAAGAGATCTGCACCTCTCTTGCTTAGAAAAGAAAAAAAACAATCCATGTTTTTTGGAAGGAGGTACTTGCTCATCTTGCCATGTCTCACTGGATTGGACTCCTTAATAGGAGGAAAAATACTTAGTTTTAAGGACTGTGATCCATTTGGTGTCAGATGGGTGCATAGCTGCTGTCCCAGTTACTTCTGGGAGAGGCAAAGCTGTGTGGCCCTTCAGAGGTTGTGTGTCTGTGCTCAGATTTCCAAGGCTCATATAGGTATCCAGCTTTTGCCTCAGTTACTTCTAGCACTTGAGCCTTTCCATGGCTCCAAGGTTTAATTTAGCTGTAGGAAGATGCTTGATGGGAAGGCACTTTGGAAATAAGCATTTAGTAAGGATTGCACTGAACAGTGGATTTTCTTCAAACAATCACAACTGTTTGGAAGGACTTGTTGATTGCCATTGTTTCTTTGTGTTTAGAATCTCAGCACCAGTGAAGGTGTCAGTAAGGAGATGCATCACCTTCAGCGCATGTTCTTGCAGAATTGCTGGGAAATTCCTACTTATGGAGCAGCTTTTTTCACAGGACAGATATTCACCAAAGCAAGTTCAAGTAGCCATAAAGTCATCAAAGTGTATGTAGGAGTAAACGTAAAAGGGCTGCACCTCCTCAACATGGAAACAAAGGTCAGCTTAAGTGAACTGCCAGTAATAACTATGAAGCTTAATTCTCTTCTCTTAAAATCTTTGTACTAGAAGTCATTTCCCATCCAACTGTTTAGTTAAACTTGACTGAAAATTTCCAAGATTTTAAGGTCTTTATAAGTCACTAACAAAGTCTTGTGTTTTTTCACTTCACTACTTTGTGAACTGCAATTGCGTTGTGGAACGTAGTGGTTTAAGTCTGAATCCTGTCTTTGTGAATGAAGGGAAGTTCAGTTTGCAAGTATGGAGGATATTTTGTGAGTGACAGTTTCCTACATTTGGTCATAGGCTTTACTCCTCAGCCTAAAGTACGGTTGCTTTATGTGGCAGTTGGGAGATGGAGATACGTGTTTTCAAATCCACAGTCTGGAAAACAAAATGAGCTTTATTGTACATACCAAGCAGGTAAGCACTACCATTTTACATCCTTTATGTTCAATTATTTTTTTCCTAAATTAGATACACAAGCCTCTTTTCTGTTGAGATTAACCACCCTTGCATAGTATAAAAGAAGCCTAAGCCAAGCCCCCACAAAAATTATTTTAAAACTTTATTATTAATAATATTTCAGAATGTTTGCTTGTTTTCTTAGCATGTGAAGCCTTTAGAATTCAAAATACATTAAATGCAGCTATAATCATTAGGATAAACCTTTTGTTTAATTGAAACTGTTTCTTGCATGTGCCCAATCCCTCATTATCGTAGATTAATTCCAAATATAGAGATTCAGAGAGCTGGAGCCACTAACTTTGTGATCAAAAGTAATGGAGTTTGAGATTGGATAAAGCTGAGAATTGCTTTTGTCATGTACTTGATTGTCATAGTTCTGAAATGCTGATAGAATTTAATTGCATCCCTTTCCATAGGCAGGACTCGTTGTAAAACTCCTGATGAAATTAAATGGCCAGCTAATGCCAACTGAAAGAAACGAGTGATGGAAACGAACAGTAGTTACGAGATGGCATCTGATGGCTGAGCAAAAAACAACTCGTTCCTCCTCGTAACAGGACTTCCATGTATATGAATTTTACACAATAGAAAAGTCAATTTGTACAGTTTTTTTAACTTTGTACAGAAGCTGCATGGTTTATTTTTTTAAAAGAACTATACAACATATCTATTATTTTTATAAGTATTTTTGTGTTTCATATATTAACTATTGTAGGGCTTGAGCTTAACCAATAAAGCTGATGAAATCTAAATGGTTTACCAAGTTCAACGAGCATGAATCCAGTAAAGCTGTTGTTCCCAGAGAAATATGGGACTACCAGTGCCATTAAGCAAGTCTCAGTTAACCTATTTACCTTTCGTGTCATTGGTGGAACATCAAGGAGGTGGTATATGTTGCAGTATTTTGTAGACACCCTGTATTTTTAAGATACTATTGATAAATATGCTTAAAAGACTAGTTAGACCTTTGAGCAACTACTTTTGATAAACTCTTGTTTTTTATTTGGTTTCTGACAAACATTTTAGCTTGCTTTATTTTTACTCTTAACTTTCTCATACTTTGTATTCATATTTATCCTAAAGCACTGCATGAGGATGCCAAAAGGGAAATACTTTAAATCATTCAGAAGCCATATTGAATGTTTAGCATGCTTGTTTTGTAAAATGAATTTTTACTTTCGCTGTGCAATATAAAGTGTATGTATGGAGGAGAGGGAGACAGGGATTTACAGATGAACCTTACTCAGAGGACTTCAGAAAGTTTTATATATCCTACCCTGGACTGCAACACATATGCAGTAACAAAAGCTCATACTTTGGAGGTACTAAGTTATTTCTCTTAAATTAATTTTCTTACTGATTAATTCAGTTTCTTCAGGCTAAAAGCAGTGCAGGATGAAGGAATGAAGATGACAAGGACGTCAGAAACAGTTTGTAAGCATTCTGCCTGCTCTTTGTAGAGTCAGGGTTGGGGCTCCACAAGTTGGGTCCCAAGTATAAGGTGGGATTCTATGCAGTCTGAAACATATCCTTGTACATTAAAATAGAATCTGTAACACAAATCTTTGAAGTTTCTGGTTGTATTTCAGGGTTTTAAGTGCACTTGACTATTTCTTCCGTGTAAACTGCATGCTAAAACAGTGTGCAATATTTTGTAAAAAAAAAAACTTTTATAAAAAATAAAAATTAGCACTTGCCTCTAAGTTTTCAAATAAAAGCTAAAATGAATGTGAAGAACTGTGCTGTTGTATAGTAACTTTACTCAACCTTACTAGTAACTGCAGAATTTAAGAAATTAAAGTAGTAAGCTGTTAAAAACATGAACAGGAGACTTGTATTTTGTATTCTTCTTAGCAAGCTGTAATTTTCTACTTAAACTTCACAGGCCTAAACAACAGTAAATTTTCATGGATTGTTATGCTTTATTTAAGGTAAATAATGCAACAGTCAGGTCCTTCATCGTGCATCCCTGCTATCACTTGGCACTGGTATCAGAAATACATTTCTCTACACAGCACTTTCTTAGAAAACTAGAGGAAAATGTTAGGAAGGTGTGTCAGTTGCCTATATAACTATACTATCAATATGCCTTATTGCTGTATAGTCCTTTCTGCTAAATTCTTATTTATTACTACCTAATAAATTGTTTGCAACAAGTCATATTTGGTGTTTCTATTTTTGTAGCCAGCATGAAGGTGCCATCAAATGTTACACCGAGCATGTGTTATTACCAAAGAGCAGTGGTTTGTAACAGGCTTGTCTTTGTAAGGTATGTAAGAAGAGCATCAGAGAGGACCAGAGGAATGACTCTAAATTAAGGTAGTGCACCTTGGAAACTGCTCAGGAGTTTACCAGGTAAACTGGAAACTGTTCATTTTGGCAAGACAGAGGTTTGCAGATGTTGCACATCAGTGGAGCCACTGAGCAGCAAGAGCCCAGCTGTGCAGTCCCAGAGGCTTCTGGCACCTGGGTACATAGGAGCTTGCACTGCCCTGCTGGGGTGAGGCAGGTGTGTGCTCTCCTTTCATCTGGAAGCAGGGAAATAAAAAATGGGAACAGAGAGAAATCCAACACCACTGAGACAGACCATTAGTAACAACCAAACAAAATACCACAACCAAACAAAAAACCAATGAAAATGAGCTGCAAGATGGGCAAAGCTGACACTTGTGCCTTTGTAAACATGAGATGCCCAGCTCACCATCTACAGTTCATCTAACAAGCACTTTCTTAAAAATAAGGACCTGTACAGCTGCCGAAAGCAAAGCTCCAGGGAGGTGGGATTTTCCCAACCATTGTCAGCTTACGGCTGGATGCAGTTTGAAGCGGGGCTGTTGGCTGAAAAAAGAAATAGAGGTTCAACAGAAACAACATACATGGTTTGCAAAAGCTCTGCTTTACCTTAATTGTTACTACTATAGGTTAAAGATATAAAAATAGTGTACAAAATTACTATTCTGTATAAATTTAAATATAATTAGTATTTACATAAAAATTAAGTAAAACCTATAATCATATATAGGTAATTAATCTGGAGATCCTCTCCCTTGGAAGAAAGAGACCGACACTATTCCACCAAAAATGTCCTTACTTCATAAATTGACAGAGCAGAATGTCAACAATAACCAGTGATAGTTCTCATGTCCCCCAAAAGAATTGTCAAGGCTTGTAAATACACAGGAACCCTTTCTCAATCACTACAGCACTGAAGAATTTCCTTTGGCGCTGAAAAGTGTGGAAACTTCAGAGTTTGCAGACAGCAAATTGAAAACTTTACTAGATCCCATAGCTGATGTGAAGAGTTTGAAGATAGTCAGCATTGGTTCCATGCACATCTCAGCATTCACAAGCGTTCTCTGCTACCTCCACTCATCCAGTAATACTCAGCACATGTGAGACCTTGATACAGGGTTTACCACAGGTAATACACATTTTGAAAAATGACAAGAATATTCATTCAGTAACAAGCTCATGTTTTTGCCTGTGCACCTTTTTCAGTTGATAAAAGTACTCAGAAATGATGACAACAAATAGTTTATTTTAGATGAAGTAGGGAATTTATAAGAATTTAAGTTTCTGGACTTTGCAAAAATTTATTTAAAAGCATTACAGATAATCTTTGCAACTGTACCCTACTGAAATGTCTCATTGTATGTAATGATTAACCAGCTTCCTGATAGTATTCCCAGATTTACACATTTAAACTTTAGAAACTGACTGGACTCGCTGGATGAACAAATACTGCCTCAAAAAGACCTACCTAAACCAGAATTTTCTGTAAATGCATTAAGGTATTCAAAAATTGAATTGAATTCAAAAATTGTATGTGGACAACAAGCTGACCTCAGCTGTGATGAGGTCTTTTTCCAAATGCAGGTTTGTGCACTACTGATCTTAAACCCTTAGATCTTAGTGGAAACTCATTTCAAAAACAATACGCGGATTTTCTGACATTAAACATTTGGCGCATCTGGAATTAAACATAAATAAGCTGCCCTCGTTCTCCGGGCGCTGCGCATCCTTACAAACCAGCGCCCCGGGCTGTCAGCGGGGGCGCCGGCAGTGATGCCCGAGGGACGGCTCACCATCATAACCCTCATTTCCCGGAGGAGAACCGCGTTGTCCCGGTGTTCGAGGACACCCAGCAGCTCGATCGCCGCGGGGCCGCCGCCGCCGGGGCCGAGCCCTGAGGCGGCCCGGCCCGGCCCGGCCCCCGCGCGCCGCCGCCCATGCCGTCACCCCGCGCGGCGCGGCCGCGGGTTGGCTGCGGCGCCGGCAATCGTCACATGGGCAGAGATCAGCCCAGCGCCGGGAGCCGCCGCACGGGCTCGGACCAGCCCGGCCCACCGCGCCGCCCTGCCCCGCGGAGCCACGGCGGATGGCGGCGGGCGCCGAGAAGATGCTGAACCTCATGGAGGCCGGCGGGTCCCTGCTGGAGCGGGTGGCCGTCGGCAACCCCCTCTCCCTGGTGCTGGCCGCATCCGCCTTCGCGCTCAGCCTCGGCTACCTGTTCCAGCTGGGGTACCGGCGACACCTGGGCTCCGAGCAGAAGGTGAGCGGCAGGGACGGTGCCCGCGGGCCGGGAGCAGCCCCGGGACAGCCCTCGGCAGCGCGGGGGAAGCGGCGGAGCGGGCTCCGGCGGGCGGCGTTTGCAGCGGGCTCCCGGGGCCGCCTGTGGGGCAGCCCGGCCGGCCTCGCCCCGCCGCGCTGCTCGGCGCCGCGGGCCGCAGAGCGCTCGCGGAACCCAGGGGCATTCCCGGTGCTGTTTCATCGATGGAGCCTAAGAGAAGGTTCCCGCTGATGTGTGAAACACAGTGCTAAGCTGCGGGTGCTTTTGAGGGGCTGTTCAACAAATCCTCCAACACTATTTCCTTTCTGATTGCCTTCTTTTCAGTTCAGTATCTTTGTGCTTCACATTCAGAGGCAGTGGGGGAAGACTCTTAGTCATGTTCACTTTATTTTAACCTTTGCTGCTTTTAAATATAGCTCTATCTAAACAGCTGAATATTTTTTAAAGTTGGCCTTTTCACAAAAGAGTTTAAACAAATATATAAAAAAACTTCCTCAGTTTTATATGCAAATGGGCATGGTTTTATTACTTTTGGGCACTGGCATGTGCCAGAAAAGAAGTCAGAGCACCAAGCCTGGCAGAGTTGGAGAAGCTCTTGGACAGCTCTGTCAGGCACATGCTGTCACCCTTGTGCATGGTCCTGTGCACGGCCAGGAGTTGGACTTTGATCCTTGTGGGTCCCTTCCAGCTTAGGGTAGTCTATTAGTTCATGAGTCTGTAATAATCTCTGAAGAAAATTCAGTGTTTATTTTTCTCTTTCTTCTACAGAATTACCCACCTTTTATTCCATCAGGCATCCCTTTCCTTGGTCATGCAATTGCATTTGGAAAAAGTCCCATTGAATTTTTGGAAAATGCTTATGACAAGGTATGTTTTCCCACGATTGGCTGCGCATATGCAAACATATTTTTGTGTGTCTATTAAGTTCTCTGTCAGGGGTCTTCCAGCTTAGGGTAGTCTGTTAGTTCATGAGTCTGTAATAATCTCTGAAGAAAATTCAGTGTTTATTTTTCTCTTTCTTCTACAGAATTACCCACCTTTTATTCCATCAGGCATCCCTTTCCTTGGTCATGCAATTGCATTTGGAAAAAGTCCCATTGAATTTTTGGAAAATGCCTATGACAAGGTATGTTTTCCCACGATTGGCTGCGCATATGCAAACATATTTTTGTGTGTCTATTAAGTTCTCTGTCAGGGGCCTGTTTAAAATCAGTTCATTCTCATTTACCATCTCAAATATGGAATGGAGTGTGCACAGTAGGCTTTGTGATCGCCAGATCTCTTTATGTAGCAGTAGTGTTTTCTGAGCTTTCGTGATTCACGTCACAGATATGCTTGTACATTTGGGTAATACTCATAGCTGAATCACAAGTTAATTAAAAAGTCATTTGCATGAAATTATTTCTTACTGTGATTGGTAACCTTCACTCACATTCTTTACCAATCTATGGCCAGGTTGAAATGTAGCTGACCACCTCTGTGGGCAACTTGATGAATTTTAAGGCCTCTCTGATTTTAAAAGGAGATGGTGTATAAAACCTCAGTAGTTTTTACGCTGTAACAGCCTAGAAGGAATTAATTAAATCAGTAGAGCCTTAATTTCAATTGAATTTGTGAAGCTGTTTCACATTGTCTAAAACTAGAGTTATAAGCTTAAACCTTACCTTGGTTAGCTTAGAGAAAGCCAAATCTGGTGCATGAAGGTCTGCTGGAGATGACTTTTAAACTTCAAAATCATATTTGCCCCTAATTATCTATGCATAACTCCATAAATCCAGAATTTTTGGAGACAGTGTTTGTAGATTCCTGGGGTCAATATATGCTGCAATCTCTCTACCAGTTTTTTTAGTGTGACTGATCTTTTATTAATGTTTTCTAAAATAAATGGTTTTAAAATGTGCATGCTCACATGTGTTCATTATAACATCAGCTATCACTGGTATATACATTGAGAACGAATTTAAATGTGGTTAAAAATATATTTATCTTTATTAAACATCTGGATACTTCTTAGGAGAAAAAGTAACTCATGAAAGACTGTACGAGATTGGGATTTAATGATTTTTGTTCTTCTTTCACATAATTTTTTTTTTGTTTATTCTCTCTCTTAGTATGGACCTGTGTTCAGTTTCACTATGGTTGGCAAGACATTCACATACCTGCTGGGCAGTGATGCTGCTGCTCTGCTGTTCAACAGCAAAAACGAAGATTTGAACGCAGAGGATGTGTACTCGCGGCTGACGACGCCGGTCTTTGGCAGGGGAGTTGCCTATGACGTCCCAAATGCGGTTTGTATTTTAAATTCCAGATCAGTAGAAAAGCAGGGCAGTTTCAGTGCTGAGTGGGCAGCCCTGAGCTCTTGGCTCTGTGGGATGGGGTTGTGTTCATGTGATCTGTGGCATACTGCAGTAGGTAAATAGTCTCATCTGGATAATCTGGTATGTTCAGGTTGTTTTCTTTACCACCTGGCCATTTATCATTCTGGATGTTATCTTTTGTTCTTGACACCATTTAATCTCACCGTAGAGTATTGTAAATCAAGGGCAACTCAGACTTTGGAGAGAGGAAATGATGCATCTGACTCCATCA